TTGTTGCTCCACCCTCGCGTGCTGTGACTCAGGAGTAATTTTAGGTTGGCTCAGCTTCCTCCATTTTGTGGCCTATTAGATATACACAGTTGCAGATTTGTTTTTCTAACCTCAGAAAATATAGGACATGACTTTCCAAGGAATAATTTTTCACACTAGCTGGATATTTAATTTCAGAGGCCAACTGTGAAGCCAAAAAACTTACCAATGAGCAACCTCTCCTTTTCTAGCTGGTTTACTGAGATGACATCTGTGAATTAGACCAGTGGTATCATGGTTAGCTTTTAAAATTTTCCTTAGCAGTGTCTCTTCAAGCTCTTTGCTGAGTTTACCAAGTGTCCAGAACAGGCCTACATCTTCTTCTGTCACTGATTAAGGAATAAAACTAAATTTCCACAGGAGAAGATCTCAGTTTAACGAAGGCATGCAATTCAGTGAGTGCAAGAAGAAGAAGGTGTAAGAGATAAAGACTTGTGTTGTGCCATAGCGTAGACAGGAATGCTCTACAGAATGAGGGTGGTTTCATATGCCAGAACAGGACGGACATGGAGGAAAGGGACTGGAGGAAAATGGTCATAAGGGGAAGAAGAAGAGAAAAACCGAAAAAAGCAGAAGACAGACTTAGGCTGTCTTCACCCACGTATTCATGCAGTTGGTTTAAACAGTCTCTACTACTGCTTTCTACTCCTCCTGCCATCTTGACACAACCCCTGCTGTACCACAATGAATGTCTGGGCAATCATGCAGTGAACTGGACAGGAATCTGACTCATATTGGTTACTTTTCAGCACATAACCCAACAAAAATTAAAATAACAGGGGAAAAAATGGATAGAGGCAAGGAATACTTCAGCTGGCGCTGCTGCCAAAAGGAGGATCATGGGATCATAGCCTGGAGGGAAGATATAGCAAAGGGACTATATAAATGAGTAGAAGGACTAGGAGCAAGAGATAAGACTGGTGGTGTTACATCGAGTTTGACGCAATTTCAGACTGCTGGAAGGTCAATCGCATTCCCACCCCAAAAATCCTTACACCAAATCTAGCAGCAATGTAGCTGAAGATATAGTCATTTCAACAAGCCGATCAAGAAACATTTTGGGGGTTTTTTTAGGGTTTTTTTTCTTTTGCATCACCTCAGTGACTCAGGTCACCTTGCAGCCACCATAAGATCATCAGATCCAACACAAAGGAAATGGCGGGGAGAGGAAAAGTGGAACTACCTCTCTTCAATTAGGTTTTATACCACACACTAAGGGGACCAAGACTAGTAAATAAGGTTTCAAATAATACATTATAGAAAAGGTTGTGCACTGAGTGAAGTCGAAAGAGGACTAGGAGAATAAGAAGAGATAACAGGTCACAAAATAGAGGAGTAAAGATAGGGGGTACAGCAAAGTATTCCTATCTATATTTATTCAGTCTTCCAGGGGTGAAAGGTAAAACAAACTAGGAAAGGTTAAAGAACACAGAAACAAGAAATCTGTAAAAAAAGACAGCAACAAGTAAAAGAAACAAGGAAAAAACCAGCAGAACACAAAAAAAAACCAGAAAAGTTGGAGAAAATACATGTTTATTAGCTTCAGACAGAGAACTGCCTGCAGAACATGAAGATCTGCCAGAGTGCCTATAAAAGCCTCAGTCGCGTGACTTACAGAGGGGAAAACATATCCCCAAGCCCAGGGGCGAGCAGAGTGAAGAGTGCGGAGAGGAAAGAGAAGGAAGTCAGGCTGGGTTTGAAATGTTACTTTTTAGATGTTTTCAGGGGGGCAGACCTACCTCACCTAGACTGTGAGTTTCAAATTCAAATTCTTTATAAACTTTTCTCCTTTCCTGAGTGTCTTTTAATATACACACGAAAACCTACACAGATACTTTCATTTGAGCAGTGCCAATACTATTAGTTATCTCTGCTGGGGATTTGCTGCAGTATTTTTGATAATGCCCAAGCAACCCCACCTCTCCCTGGACTCCTGTTTAACACTGTGTATTTCAGTAAAAATGTCTTTTAGCTTTAGAACTTCTAAACCTTCACTCAGGAAACTGGAACTATGTATGTCTGTAAAACACTGACACAAGCTTTCATTTCTAATTTTTAGCTATTTGGAATGAAGATCCTAATGAAGCTCAAGCTGTGATTTCATGGTACAGGGGCCAGAGTACTCATTTTCATCTGTGCGTTACCCCTTGTGCTGCCTTGCCACCGGTGCTTATAGGGCTGTACCGTGAACCAAAGGAGTGAATCGATCTGAGGTAGAATTAGTTTTCTTTCTTTTAAATCGGTGATCCAGTCCCTTGTGTCATCTCACAAACACTGAAACACAGCGAGAAAATAGTGTGGGAACACGACCAAGCAGCTGGGGGAAGGTGAAGCAGTGGGAATTATTAAAACATGATCACTGCCAAAGGCTCCCTATAATGAAAATGCAAACTCAGTAGAGAAAAAGAAGCATAAGAAGACAGTTTGCTATTAAAATAATTTTCCAAAGTAAGAAGTAAACTGCTAGCTAGAATAACGTGCACTGATGAAACAAGCGTCTTGGGAGGAAATACGTATGTGTGTGTATACATACAAACCACATCATAGGCAGTAGTTAAGATTGCACTGACAATCTTCATCTTGGCATTTACTAGGTTTTCTCATAACTTCGCACCTGAAACATTAGTCTTCTTTCACTATTTTTAATGCAATGACCTCTATATTTTACAGCAATTTATTACAAGAAAAGCAGTTCAGCTACCGAGAGCCATACTGTCTCCAACATGTCATTTATTAAGAAGATTCATGACTTTTTTGCCATTGGATTTCACAGCTGCTGCTGCACTGTGGTGATGGGCTATTGAGACTCAATAGCCTTTGGATCTACATCAGATTCTGGAGGGGAAAATACTCCAATATTTACAGATTTACCATCTACCATCAGCTGTCCACTCTCTCCTTTCTGTCTTTAAATCCTCTACTCCAGGCTCACGTCTTTTTTTTCCGTCTTAACATTGCTTTTGCAATGTAGTCAGGCTGCTGCTTCTTTGCCACTCTTCATGTGTATCAAAAAAGCAGACAAGGATGGGGCAAAGGAAATGCAACCCCTCTCCCAAGTCCAGTGTCAGCCAGTGGGAGAAACAATTTGAGGAAGCTCTGGGATGAAACATGCTCCGTCATCCTCCAACAGAAGCAAATCTAAAGTCGAATCGCTACTGAAGAGCTGTGAAGGAAGGGCCTCTATCACAGCATGGGATTTCTTTTTCCTTTCTTTTTGATAAAATTGAAGAAAACGCCCCAAGAAAATACAGTGAAAGAAACAATCAAAACTGTAGAGAGACGTGTTTCGACAGAGGAGGTTCTGGAAGATTACTTTGCTCTTTCATAAATAATCCTACTTTGACACATAGGAATGTGTTGTACGTAATTTCCGTCAGTTGTGGAAATTCTCAAGACAATACGATCTACCAGTTGCGGCTTCATCTACGAAGCGCAAGCACAGACCTGGCTCGGTTTTACTTTCCACTCAGGTCATACTTACAGCCCGTACTTGGTATTTTCCATCACGTCGAATATGCATACTTGGGACTTAAGACTGTTTCTCTCTTATGCACGTTCTCCTTTCTCCTCCTTGTCCTCTTTTTCCTTTCATGCACGCTAACTTTTAATCCCATTCAACACTAACTGTTTTCTTTCCTTCCTCCATAGGTCCGTGAAGTGAAAAATAACCGCAATCCCCAAGGAGCAATTTTTATTTCCTAGAAAGCTTGGGTTGGAGTAATCCCATCCTGCGCCGGGTAAGGACATCGTTACAATCCAGCACAGATTTGCCAGGTCTGCGCACACGTGGCAGCAGACCTTGGCTTTATTTCCCGCCTGCCGTTCAGCAAACCTTCCCTGCTCTCAATTCCCACACACAAATAAATGAACCTGGCGCTCCTCACAAAACCTAATCAACGCGAATCCCAAGCGCGCTCGGCATGACATGTCACCAGCTAATTAAATGTCAGCGTACGCCGGGGTAACTGCAGAATTAGGCCCCAAACGAGAGACGAACACCGCCACCCCCCTCATCGCCCC